CTATTGCACTTAAGAAGATTCGACTGGAGCAGGAAGATGAAGGAGTTCCTAGCACTGCTATCAGAGAAATATCCCTCTTAAAAGAGATGCAACATGGAAACATTGTCAGGTATGCAATGTGATGTGCCACCTTTACATTTCCTAACGGTGAAGACTGTAATCCACCAGTCACATTATATCTTCACCATTTTGTGCTTGCTTACAATAGGATCTATTTTATGAATTTCTGAATACACTTCAACATAAACTGAAAATTCATGCAGGTTAAATTGTAGTCAGTGATCAGAAATGATATAATATGATTTCCTGTTGTTTCTTGTCTTCTTATTCCCCCTGTTATTGTGGTGGTTGTTAGATAAAACACCAGTCACTGCAATGTGGGGGAAAAGGGTTTGACACAATACAAAACAATCATGTAAGTGCTATAGGGTTTATTTTCTTTTTGCTCAACATGAGAGGCCTCATTGTAGAGGTTCTGAAAGGGGTAGATATGACAAAATGGGGGTCAAATTTGTTAAAAGCAGAAGGCGTGTGACAACAAATTTTCTTGCCTTGGTGAGGCGCAGTTGTGTGAGAAAGCAGCCGCTTCTTGGCAGAGCAACAAAGCCACAACGCACAGCCAGGCCATGCTTTCTCATGAAAAGCACAGTCAACTCATAGGTCAGCGCCAAAAATAAAAAACAATAAAATAATAAAAGACCTGAAATAGGGTTAGTGAAATTGCGATCTTCTCTTCTCCAAGCTGTCAAGACTTTAAAGGGCTGCTCGCTGCTCACCACTCCCAGAAATTAGGGTTCATGAGGTCGCCTCCAGCATCTCTTCGGTGGTTTAACCTTGCCAGTTGCCAATGAAATCGTGGTCACTTGGACCTTCAGCAGGAGTTCAGGAAAATGAAATAGCTGTCTCACTCTCGAGTCCCGCAAGATGAAATTATATATTTTTGGTCCGAATTTTGACCAGACTCCAGTGTAGTCTAGGTTCCTCTGTTTCGGAGAGTGAAGTATTCAAGTAGTCTCGGACTCTGGTTTTTCTGATATTCCGAATTTCTGATTAAAAAATAAAAATTCTAGGTTCCTCTGTTTGACTATTTCGGCCAGTGAAGTTTTATTTTTTAAAAAACTTTGAATATAAATCTCTAATTAAAAAAAAAAGAAACTTTTATAAAACTGGAACTTTTGTTTTATAAAGCTTTACATCTTTTTTTTTTTTTTTCATAAATACTTTTATAAAGTTGTCATTTTTTAAATGTCATTTTGCATCACTAATTGAGTAATTGTTATTTTTTGGAAAAGTATCGCTTACTGTGAAAAAACTGCTTCTCTTTGCACTTCCGCTTTAAAGCAAAGCCCAGCCTCGTCCCTATGCTTTTTCGCTTTATAAAGATTGGTGGAGGTGGGGGTAATGCCAGATATGAGGATCTAGCCATAGACTGTTGATTCTTGAAACATCATATGATGCTATATTTCTCATTTAACTACTCAAGGAACATCATACTTTTCAACTATTTAGCTTTTAAAGTGTTTACTGTGTGTTTCTCTTTAATTGTGTTATCTACAGAGACCTTTAAGTTCTATAGTGAAGATATATACATGCATATCATACTAGTTTTGAACTTTATGATTTACTCTGTTATTTTTTCAATTCATATCTTTGTTGGAAACTTCAATTTTGGTAGCAAACCTGAATTTCTATTTTTAGATTATGGCAGAAATGCTCCTTTTGGAATCAACCTTCTATTTTGCAAACATTTCTACTAACCATTCTTGGAGTCCAAGTGCCTAGATGATCTTATTGATGCTTGATAACAGGTTGCAGGATGTGGTGCACAGTGAGAGGCGATTATATCTGGTATTTGAATACCTTGATTTGGATTTGAAGAAGCATATGGATTCTTGCCCAGACTTCTCCAAGAATCCACGTATGATAAAAGTGAGTAATCTCTTTATGCCACTTGTGGAGGTTGGTGCACGATGTGGTTTGATGTAGGATGCATTATAATTCATATTATGTAGCAGGTTCAGGTGTTTCATTTAATCTGTTGGGCAACAATTGAAAATTACATTTAAAACCCGATGAATCTTTTAAAGTTTCTGCTCACGGTAATGCTATAAGAGATTTTGGGAACAGTTAAACTCCAAGTGTTGTGTTTATTTGAAGGCTGGTTTTTCATCTTGAAAGACTGCAATAAAAAACAAGTTACCTGCTCTTTTCTTGGGGGGGGGGGGGGGGGTGGTTAAGGTGAGGAATAGCTTGCATAAAATAATTAATTAACGGAAAAGCAAGAGTGATGCCCTAACTCCCCAAGGATAAAGATTCATACATTTTAAGTAATGCAGTTTGAGGAAACATGATATTCAGTTTACCTACTCAGGCTCTCAAGTGGGCGTGTAGATCAAAGAATTTGCTCACTGCCAATTTTTTGTTGGATTGTTTTTGTTGATGCCTATTTATTCATATATTGCAGATGTTTTTGTATCAAATACTCCGTGGAATTGCTTATTGTCATTCTCATAGAGTCCTTCATCGAGATCTCAAGCCTCAAAATTTATTGATAGATCAGCGTACGAATGCATTAAAGCTTGCAGACTTTGGTTTGGCTAGAGCATTCGGCATTCCTGTCAGGACTTTTACTCATGAGGTAGGTTGTTGACTGGTTGTGAGTTGTCCATATGCCAATATCTCATGCTGGCTTCCCTTATAAGATCAAAGAAAAAAGTAGTTTATGATGCTTGTGTGAACAGAACTAGTTTTATGTCTAACCTTAGCTTATGAGTTTTTCAGTATTGTAAAACAAAAAGTATCATCTATAGTCATATTCGAAATGAGCCATTTATCTTTGCTGCTAATGTTTTGTTAAACCACATATTTAGAAATGCTGTTAATCTTGGATAGATAATCTTCCAACACTTAAATATCTAATTTACTCTTTTTTCTTTTCCTTTTTTTTTTTTTTTTTGGGTTTTTGTTTCCAGGTGGTGACACTATGGTACAGGGCACCAGAAATACTGCTTGGATCACGACATTATTCTACTCCAGTTGATGTGTGGTCAGTTGGTTGCATATTTGCTGAGATGGTGAACCAACGGGCACTTTTCCCCGGGGACTCAGAAATTGATGAGCTCTTCAAGATTTTCAGGTTTCACATCTTCTCCATGTTTTTTCTTTAATGAGTTATAGCGATCCTTCTTTACCCCTAATTCTGGGAAAACTTGGGAGACTAAAAATTTGTTTCTTGAAGAGTTTACTCGAAACATTGTCTAAATCTATTATGGAAGGAAAGCAGTAAAACTTTTTCAGAGAGTGGAGTTTTAGCAATTTGTTTCGTTATGTTTGATGTCATAGTGGTTTGCTTAGATGTTATGATTCTCCAATTTTATTTTTATGAAGAGTGATGGGTACTCCTAATGAGGAAATATGGCCTGGCGTGACATCTCTGCCTGACTACAAAAGTTCCTTTCCTAAATGGCCCCCTAAGGTAAGTGTTGGGTTCCTTTTGGTTTTATGTTTGATCTACATAACTATTGATTCTTTTTCCTTTTGCTTTGCTTTTGTTTTTGTTTTGTTTTGTTTTTTTTTTTTTTTTTGTTTTTTTTTTTTGTTTTTGTTTTTTTTTTTTTAATATTTTTTAAAATTATTTTAATCCCAATAGTTAGAACTTAAAACCAAATTTTATTCTATTGTATATATACTTTTCAGGATCTAGCAACTGTGGTACCAAATCTTGATGCATCCGGCCTTGATCTCCTCAGTGTAAGTAATACAACTTTTAATTAAAACAGAGATGTTAAATTTATTGGATTTATATCTTCAAACATAATAACCAAGTATTCTAGTTTTCTGTATTTTGCGTTGGCCGTGGTATTTTGATTGGCGAAAGCCTCTCCCCTGAAAAGTACAATTTTTTTTTTTTTTTTTTTTTTTTTTTTTTTTTTTTTTTTTTTATATCAAATACAACACTGATGTGAAAATCTTCTTATATTGCCATATTATTAGAGACTTGGAAATTCCTTGCAATGATTTGTTTTCCTTTTTCATTGAAAAAGTTCAACATAAAAGTTACTATGAACGATGTACTTGTATTACCAAAATTGGATTACAAAATGTTTCTAATCTAATGTTTATATGTGTTATGGTTTCAGAAAATGCTCTGCTTGGACCCCAGCAAAAGAATCACTGCCAGGAGTGCCCTTGAACACGGGTACTTCAAGGATATTGGGTTTGTCCCTTGAAATTTAGTTCTATCCTGAATACATGTGTAAAGCGGAATGCAGTGTACCTTTTTTTATTTTGTGGGCCAATATATATTAGTGGTTTATCGAGTTGTCAACTTGTCATCATGCCCTCTCTTGATTAAGGATTGTTCTGGTACAATTTTTTTTTTCCTGTAATTTTCAGTTCAATATTCTTGTAAGAATATGCTTGTTCACAGACACTGAATTGTTTTATCCTCTTGAATAGATTGATTTTGTGTGCCACATTATTGTTGTACTCGGTTCAATTGTCTGGAAAGTGAGTGTTCTTGATTGTTTACATTTTGTGTTGTGTCATTGTTTTATTTGTTGGACTGACGGATAGAAACTAAATCCTAACTTCTTAAGTTTTGCTCAGCCACTAGTTGTGTTTGAGCTTTGAGGCATTTGCTCGATCTTGGAATTGTGGCTAAATATATTTTGTCTATAAAGTACTTTCCACAGGTCTAGTTGATGTGGCTTGAGTAATATGCCCGTGAAATTACAAATATGCTGTTAATACCATGTGTCTCAGCTTCTGTTCAAACTTTCCCTTCCAGATTGAGGTACCTTGAGCTAAACTCTCTCTTCAGAGTTATTATGCCTGAGAAATTCTGTTCTGATACAAACGGATTATCTACCCATTTTTTGTATGATAATGATAATGTCTATAAAGCATGCTAGTACTTATTTATTCTGGTATGAAAATGTCAAATGGCAAAATGAGTAGACCGTTAGTTGTACATATTTTTAAGTTGTAAGTGATACACATTACAGATGAAATTACATTAAATTTTTATTTTAGGCATTACATTCTTACGGATATGGTTACATACACTTCAATTGTGAAATTGATACAATAGCCTATATAAGCACACATATTTGTACTACATTTAACTTTAAAGATAGACTCTGAGGAATAATACACAGAAATAGGGACTACATTATTGGCCCTTTGAAGTGATAGCACACAGGAAAGGAGAATTATTATAAAATTATATAGCATCTCCCAGTGGTTGTAGCCAAGCCTGATTGGTTCAAAAGTTCCCCAGCTTGCCTCTGCTAACTGAAACCAACCAAAACCCCATCTTAAGCTCCTCAAGAAAACTAGTACACTTGTAATTGAAGTGCATGGAATTATGTAGCATAAACAAAAGAAAAACTTACTGTATAGTGCAGAAACTTCGGACTTCTTCAATAGGCGCAACCTCTTAGCCGAAGATATAAACATGCTGTAAACATGTTTGTTTATAGAACCAAGTAAGATTATGAATTATATTAGCCAATCTAAAGCATATAGTACATGGATCGCCCCATAAGATTTTGTGAGCTCCCCAATTGCTTGGTTAAGACTTAAGACCCTTTTGATATTCAGTAGTATAGTATTGCTATGGAATTAGTGAGGTTATAAGTAAGAAGAACTAGTGCTTACTGCCAGGGAACATCACCCACTAGCATTCTGTCTCCTTCCTCATCCTCATAAACTAGTGTATATTCCTTGCTTCCTGATATTCCACTGTGAACTTGTGCAGTTGCCTCATTTCCCTCTAGACCAGCCAAATCATCTCTTTGAGCTAGAACCAAAAATGAAAAAATAAAAAAGTAGAAGTCAGATAGAATGGTGTTGGCTTTCTATGATATGTTGTTGTTTTTGAGATTACCAGCAAGAAGTCCTGTGAAGAGTGCATCAACACCTGAGTAGAGTGCTTCATAATTGTCATAAACTGTCAGATCAACTTTTCTTCCTATGGGGACACCCTCCATGTTAACCTTCACAAACAAAGCATCTTTAGGCTTTTCCGAGCTGCCATCATCTTTCTCCTCTTTGATCATACTAGTAATCTTTGGGCCTGTTTGCTTCAGAGAACCACTAGCTGTAGTGTTTTTTCTAGACGAACGAACTGGGGGCCAACCGATGACTGGGCTCTTCTCGAGCCTGCAGTTTTTGGCACTCCTTTGATCTTGTGCTGGCGAAATCCTATTTGTACCTTCATGTAATATCCCTCTTTTGGCTCCAGGAAGAGAAAGCAGAGGAGGCTGTTCTTGCCCCGGAGGAGCAAGCCTAAGCTCGAGCTTTCTATTCTCTAAGATTTCATGTTTCCCATTGTTCTCACTCGTTGTTCCTATAGGAATCGCATAGAGAAACTTGGGAATTTCTTCCATTCTGTTGTTTTATAGATGGAGAAAAATTGAAGGAGAAGAAATAATAGTTGTGGTGAAGGTGGAGTACTATGAAGTAAAGTATGTAGTTTGTGTTGGTTTGCATAGATATATAGGATAGTTCTTTTCCTGTTACTAATTCCCTTTTGGTACATGTCAAAGGTTGGTTGTATAGAACTACAGTCTACAGGAAGTGAGGTTGGATCATTATTCATTCTTTTTGATTAGACAGGATGCCAGGAGGCTCATTCTATTCATACACCAGTCATACACTGCACTTTTATTATGCAATTGTTATAGCATGGACCAGAGCTTAACTTGCAAGATGGACCCAGGTTCAAAATACACAATTTGCATACTGAATGTTCACAATTTACATATTGAGTATTCACAATTTACATGCTTAATGTTCACAATTTACCTTTTACAAAATTGTAAGTATTTAATATGTAAATTGTGTAACTTGGACACGAATTTACCTTACAAGGTGGGTTCAGGTCCATAAAATAATTTGCTTTTATTATGCGGGTGGACAGGAGATTTTGGAGATCACACCGTCCAACAATGGTGGAGGCTAACTATAGAAATAAGTTTAGTAAGCTTCAATTAGAAAATACCATTAATCAAACAAAACGGTTTGAATATAAAATAATATATATTATAAATCAAAATATTAGTTAGATGAGATATGGATATTCTCTCGTATTTTGAAATGTATATAAAGTCATTTCATTTGGCACACTATCAATGGTGCTTCCAAATCATGGATTGGTATGAAATGATAGCTACTAAATTATGCATGTTAAGTCATAACATTAATCTTAAAATTAATACTAGTAATAATTAAACGTTCTGCAAATTTTTAGTATGATGGACAAATCATGTTTTCAACCGCAAGTAAAAATTGGATTCTATTGTGCCTTATGTAGTTCTTTCACTAGTCTAAGATATTTCCTTAGCTTGTATAATGACTATAAGTTTAACATTTTTATATAATGACTGTTATTACGAAACATTTCCTAATAATACTGAAGGGTAGTTAAATAAATAAATAAATAAAAACCATGTTTTCTTTGGATACATTGTAGCATTGAGATTTTTATTTTCTATTTTAATGACCTTAACCCAAGTGATTATGGGAAATATTTTAACTAAACCCACATTGCAAAAAGATTTACTTTTCATAGAAGAGAAGGTGGATTGACCTTTTTAGTCTTCTTGCTAATCCATGCATCCCCTCCTTATAGCAACAATAAAATAAAATAAAAAAAGATTCTGAAGCACTAGCTAATTAATGTGGCAATATATATGGTAGGGTATTTTGTCAGTCTTTTGGTTAGTCTTCCACTGAGAAACTAAATAGTCAAATGGCTAATGAAAACACATTCAATTCTATTACTACTATTCCTGTTAAGCTTTTGTAGTTGCAGAAGGTGAACAGGCCAGGGGAAAAGTGAAATAATCACAGTGCATGTGAGATGGATGAGGCTATCTCTGTATACTAGCTAGGGATGCCATTTGTGATTTTTGCCACATTGCATTATTCTCTCTACTGTTCTTTGCATCTTTTGCATGTGCTGATGATTACTTATTCTTTTTGGCGTCCGTAAATCGGCCATCCACCATCCGGTATTGTCTCATATTACAAAGCCTGCATGCACCAATAATGATTCAAGAATATATATATCATGGCAGTTTGATTTATGAAAAAGAATTTATAAGGAATAAAATTTAAGTTTCATGAAATCAAAATGATATATGGATTTAATATTTCAGTGTTTGATTTGCTTTAAAATTGAAACTCCAAGGAATTCATTTCTTCCTCAACTTTTACGATTTGAAAGTCCCATCCCATCAACCAAACAAGTTGTTGGAGCATTCGTTCTGATCAATTGGGTTTTAGGGTTTTTGGGTGTCAACAAGGAGATAGAGAGAAGTTAAAAAAGAAAAAAAACAAAATTAAAAAAAAGTGAGCTTTTCTTACAAACCCAAAGGGTGCATGGAAGACAGCAATCGTTATGCTATGGACTCGTGTCCAGTATGCATTGTAGACACGGTAACGGTGCGTTAGTGGCATCGTTATCATTCACTAATTTTTTTTTTTTTTTTTTTTTTTTTTAAATTTAGACAGCTTTGTTATAGCAACATATGTTCATAATTTTATTACTATATGTTCATAATTGTAAGTTAATGATGTCAGAGCTCTGTGTTCATAATTCTATAACTATACATTCATAATTGCATAACTGTACATTCATAATTCAATAACTGTAAATTCATAATTTTTGAAGCTCTATGTTCACAATTTTAGAGCTCTATGTTCATAATTTTATCACTATATGTTCATAATTGTAAGTTCATAATGTCATAGCTCTGTGTTCATAATTCCATAACTTACATTCATAATTCTATAACTGTACACTCATAATTCCATAACTGTACATTCATAACTCCACAAATGAATAACGTCGTTAATGCCGTTATTTTTAAACTGGAATGCCACGTTTTCCCTAAAAACGACATCGTTTTGGACTCGTGTCCACATTGTGGATACGAGTCCACAGCATAATTTGCGTGGAAGACAGGACCGTTCCAATAAAAATTTGGGTCCTGTGCAATATCTTAATTTTGGGCTTCTTTAAAGTAATTTCTATATATAAATAATAGTTGTTTAAAAAGTTGTATCAAAATACATCTTGATACATCTAAAATTTCCAATCGTTATACCCTACACCGCGGCGCGCGTAGCACTGTGCACCGCGCGCCTCCCAAAACGACGTCGTTTTGGGAGGCGCGGTAGGAAGTTGCTGTGATTATGTATATTTGTTCATACAATTATGTATATTTTTTATTATGTACATTTTTTATACAATTATGTACATTTTTTTTTTATACAATTATGTACATCCGAATCAGGAAATTTTTGTGTATTATGTTAAGAGTTGATGTGTATTATGTTAAAAGTTTATGTTTATTATTTATTATGTTAGATTATGTGTATTATCTTTTACGGAGTAAAAAACAGTATATATATTTTGTTATACAATTATGTACATTCATGTATACAATTATGTACATTCATGTATAACATTATGTACATTTTTGAACATGAGATTTTTTAAGGAAAATTAACCGCCAAACACTGGGTAGCGAAATTTCAAAAAAAAAAAAATAAAATAAAATCTGAAACGACGTCGTTTTGCATCTAGGTGCACAATGCAACGCGCGCCGTGGTGCAGGATATAAATTGCCTAAAATTTCATTATATAAAATTTTGGGCTTTTTAGGCTTTTTTGTATCTGTTTTCAAAAAAGTTGTATCAAAATATAAATATTGTATAAATAAAATACATCTAAAATTTCATTTAAAAAGACCCATGCCCCAGGTACATTTAGGAGCAAAATCATCTACCAAACTTTTGATATCAACTTCTTCCAAAGACTCATTTTCAATGGAGATTAAAGTTATTCCATTGAGTCTCTCTTGAAACACACTTGATCGTAAGTAAGATTTCAACAATTTCAACTTTAAAAAATTTCTTTCTACAGAAGCAATAATATTGGATATGCAATAGTAGCATTTGGAAAACAACCCATCTGTTTCAATGACTTCAATATACTCACTACCCTTATCTTTTTTTTTTTTTTTTTTTTTTCTGATAAAATCTCTCTAAGCAATTTTAGCTCAATATACAATTAATTTCCATCAATATAACCACACGGTTTATCCTTCTTAAGAATGCTAATTGAGATTTGGGAATTGTATTAAAAACAAATAAAAATAATTGTAATTGCTAATCAACATAAGGTCCCAGTTAAAGATGCTTAATTGTTATTTAAAATTTTGAATTGGGAATTGCCATTCTTAATTAACAATGGTACTTGTAATTGAGATTTAGGAATTGAGAATTGCCAAAAGTAGAGAAGGGAATCAATGAAATATATATATATATATATATATATATATATATATATATATATATCGCACACACACAAAAGCAAACACACTTTTAAAAATTTTTTTTTTAATGCAATTGTGAATTGGGCTCAATTTCACCTTACGACAAATTGGTCCAATCTTCTTGCGCTTAGCCTAAAATCTCGAATACTATATGCACATATAGTTTTTTTTTTTTTTTTTTTTTTTTTTTTTTTTTTTTTTTATGGGCCCCCAATTTTTTGGGGGCCCTGTGCGGTTGCACATGTTAGGCATGCTCAGTCCCGGTCCTGATGGGAGACATAGGCAAATTATGTTGTGCATCCATATGCATCATGCATGGTGCATACGGATGCAAAAACGACGTCGTTTTGCATCAAAACGCGCGTCCTACTTTAAAAAAAAAAATCAGTTTCGATTCCCAGCAACAACATTATGTTATTCATTTTTTAGTTCATTCATTCTGGATTTTTAGTTATGAAATTCTGGATGTATAGTTATGCAATTCTGGATGTATAGTTATGCAATTCTGGATGTGTAGTTATGAAGTTATGGATGTGTAGTTATGCAATTCTGGATGTATAATTATGAAGTTATGGATGTGTAATTATGCAATTCTGGATTTATAGTTATGAAATTATGGATGTGTAGTTATGTATGGATGTATAGTTATGAAATTATAGATGTGATGAAATTATGGATGTGTAGTTATCAATTCTGATTTAAAAAAAAAAAAAAAATTAGACGTCAAAATAACGTCGTTTTTACATCCGGATGCACCATGCATGGTGCCTACGAATGCACAACATAACGATCAGGAGACATGTGCCCGTTGAAAGTGCGAGTTAACCACAATTTTTTTATTATTATAAAAACCCATGATTTTTTATTATTATCAAAAACCATGAAAAATCAATCATTGTAGTGGATTGAGCACCTCTACCCACCAATCTCTCTCTTTCTCATCCACCTCATATATATGATTTGTCTCATAAATTGAGAAAAAATTATTGATGCGGTTGCCCTAATTTAAAAATTTGGGTGATTACATTTTATATGTTTATAGAGTTTACGGTTTAAGCTTCTCTAAATAGCTCATCATACAATAGGTCAATTTAAACAAGTTAAATTGTAAATCACCTGAAATGCGAATTAAAATGATGCGCATTATATTAGTAACGAGTTATGTGTAC